CGGCGATGCGAGGCCGAGGCCAGCGAGGCCGACGAGACCTGCGACGCGCAGCATGACCTGCCCGAGCTCGCTCACAATGTGCTAAATTCGGCATATGCCACAGGCAAAGATCCAGTGTCTTGTTTTCGGCATCCGAGACGCTGAGCGAGCGTTCCCGCGGTGCTCTGCTCTGCTCTAGTCTTTAGTTCAATGTCAATATTGTACAATGCCATTGTGAACCCTAGTACACTACGTGCTACGACATATTCGAGTCCTTCTGGGCAAACATGAGCCACGATACCTTGGCACACCACGATACCTATCCCTAATCCCAGTGAGTTGGGGCTCGAAAAGCGGTTTATGAACCGTGCTGCGAGGCGTTGCGAGGTGGTCTGTTGGCTGACGCCTTGTCGTCATCATGCACGACCCGTTTGCTGCCGTTCAGCAGTCCGTCGACGTCGTTGGCATCCCAACCCAACAACTCATTTCGTGAAAAAATCTACCGGTTCGATCGTTGCATGCAGTACAAGGTACCTCACAAGAGGTAGAGAAACGCTGTGGTCGGGTCGCGTTGCCGCCACATGAGAATCATCGCATCCGTGCCAAGCCCAGGCGAAAGCAGAATCGTTCCAAGGTATGCGCTCAGCATCGCGTTGTAGGTGGCGTTCATCATCTCCTTGAGGCCACGCAGCATCATTGGGAGCGGCGCCATGGTGTTGCCGCGCGCGTAGTACTGCACCAAGCCGATGACCAAGTCCACGCTAAAGACCGCGACGTGCGTCAAGACGACACCTGCCGCCGCCGTGTACAGGATACGCACAGCGGGGGCGCCCGGGTGGGCGAGCGATGCGGCCTTGCGCAGCGCCGACTACACCGGTTTCTTACGACGCAAGTCGACGGCGACGTACGTACCTCGCCAATGTCCTTGGTAAGCTTGTCTGTGATGCGCGGCCCAAGGCACTTTAGCGCGCTGAGCTCGAGAAGGCGCTTGACCGCCACGATGCTTGCTGCCCGCGACGCCCAAAAGCCGACGGTCTTGGGCGATACATCCACCTTGGCCTTCTCGGCGTCGTCCGTCAAGTGGTAGCCGATGGCCACCGTGCCGGCAGCCAGCGTGGCCGCGACGATGCACCCCGTGAGGCTCAGCGGCGGCGCCATGTCGGCGAGGTACGGTCGCTTGCTGGCGGATCGCGTGCGCTCGTACAGGCCACATGCCTTCATCGCGTTGCGCACGGCGGCATCCAAGGCGCCGACTGTTGACGCCGGCGTCGACATGTCTTCCGTGTCGAGGCCGAGCGTGTGCATCGCCTGGCGCGCGGTCGCGGTCATGGCAGCCACCATGGACGCTGGCGACGTCGTCATTTGCTGTGTCACAATCGCACAGCGCCGGAAAGGCGGCCACGTGGAAATCGATTACCACGTCACGTGAGAAACGATACCCACATTGTGTGAGAAGCGATAACCACGTGAAATACGTGTAAATCGTGTGGGATTTCCAAGCTTCACCCACGTTCACGCCACGTTGGCCCTCAACCAGCCGGATGCAAGAGCACTAGCGCACTGCACGACTAAGGTGCTGAGCTTGCTGTGCTACCGGGGCTTGATATCTTTTCACGATGGGTACTCTCTCGCGCCAGTTCGCAGTGTGCGTGTAAAGCAACAGCCATGACGAGGGAAGCAACCAAGGTCTAGGAATTGCGGCCACAAGCCTTACAGGACGCTTTAGAACGAATACGCGAGCGTCTCGCCGACGAGCGCGCCGACAAGCGTGCCTTTGCCAGGCGAGACAAGCGTGCCGATGGCGCCGCCGGCCGCAGACCCGACGATCGCAAGGCCGCAGCGGCGCAAGCCCAGAAGCGTCACCTGAAGCAGCTGGCGCTCGGTCTCGATGGCCGTCGCTTGGAGCTTGCACTGGATCGCGTGGCAGATCGCAATGATCTCCTCGACGAGGAAAATCGCAACGCTACCCAGCACGGACGCGCGGACGCCGGTCTTGACGATCTGGAACGCCGCCGTCGTCGCGCTTTGGTGGCGCGCGTACTTGCGCAGAGCCGACTAGAGACATCGGCCATGAGACAGCCTGTGTGGAAAGGCCACGTGTGCGTACCTTGGTGACGTCCTTGACCAGCTTGCCAGCGACGCGCACGTCGAGGATGCGGATCGAGATGAACTCGAGCGAGCGAAGCACCGTCGTGTTGCTGAGCGTCTTGACGCAGTGCAGCTGGCAGCGAATCACAAACTCGCGCGGCGACGGTGCGACAAAGGCCGGCTTGTCGGCCTTGGGCTCGTCGTCGTCGCTCTCGTCGTCGTTCTCGAGGTCGAGCGACTCGACGTAGCCGTTGACGATGAAGAGGCCCTGGAGCAAGGTCGACTTGACCAGCTGCAGCGCAAGCGGGCGCGCCTGGAAGTGGGCCATGAAGGCCTTCTGGTCCGCGAGGTACTCCTTCTTGCCCTTGACGATGGCCGACATGATCGCCTTCGAGCTTGATGGACACAATGGCGCATGTCCCCAGCCTTTGTATTTTTTTCACCACTTGGTATTTGTATGCAACTATTTAAATCGAATCCGCGCCTTTGATTGGACAAAACGACTTTATCCGGATCGTTCGCGCCGCTGGACGTTGAAGTCGGCTTTGGCGTGGCCGTCGACTTGCTTTTGTACATCATTCGAAGAGCAATGTGTACTCGTTTGGTGTGGAATGTGGACAATATTGTCATCTCAATGCATATTCAAGTCATATCTGTTGCGATATTGTACACGCATCCAGTTAACCCAGTTCGCGTCTCCAGCAACGACGAGCCGAGTGTCACGACGAGCTTAGGTGGCGCCACGCGTGCCCGCATCAACCAAACTGCTACGGTCCACACCAATACTTTAAGCATAGAGCATTCAGTCCATAATGGAATGTTTGCTGAGGACACACAAATGTCCGTCTCTCGCGGTCACTTTTCCTGTGTCGGCGTAGCAAGAAGCGATCAACGGTTCAAGTGGGCACCCTCGTTTTAGAAACCAGCCGCCGTCATACTCCCGCCAGGGCACCATAGCAGTCGACGATGAGCGCAAGGAGTCAGTACGACGCGAGGTGTCGGCCTCTGGCACCCTTTCTGGTGCCCGGCGATCGCTCAAACTCAGTCTTGTATTTCACACTATATCCAGCTTAGCACACCATTCTACTCCACACGATTTGAATACATAC